TCGACGAAAATGATAATAAAGCAACAAACGAAAACGTAAGCCGCATCGAGCAGATCTGGACGATCGATTCGACGAGTTCGTCGTGAATGATGGAAAATCACAATTAGAGATTCGCCGATCGATAATGAAAATGAATGAAAATTCAACGGATCAACATCGTTGCTAAGCCGAATCGTTATTACGTGAAGTGCGATATCGCGACTGTGATTACGATCGCTTGTTTCGAAGGACGAAACAACCGCTCCGTCGGCAAGTCGACGCGAATAACAAAATAACGCGAGATGAATAATAAATTCCGAATGGTTCGACGAATCGCTCATAAATTGCAGGAAATTATAATCGGCGCTTCATCGATTGATAACGAGATTGAGAGAACTGGTAGAAGTTAATATCATTATTACAACATGGATCGTTATTACGTGAAACGCGTGGCGCGTATCGCGAGTGTAATTTCGATTACCCGGCGGTCTCTTCGATTCCTTAATTATTACTCTTCCCCCCCCCCCCCNATTTATTATTAATTCTGATAATCTATCTTGCACAACGTTGACTTCGGTTGTAAACACGGGTAAATTGACCGGCCGACAAATAGAATCTCGGTTAGATGCGCGATTACGCTCGATGGCACGTCCAATCCACTTATCACTCGTCTGGCTGGCTGCATTTTTATCCTCCCAACGTATAACGTGTATGTACCTTAGTCAACTCGACCGGATGTTTTCGAGATGAGAACAGCGAGCGAAACGGTTTTTAACAGCATTCTCCGCAAAGTAACGCAGAAGAAGCGCAAGCAAAACTTCATCTCCGAATAGCACACGTTTCCTCGACACACGGAGAAAAGAAATTTTGCCAGAACAAGTATCTTGTCAATATAGCGACAGCAGAAAACATTCTGTTTAAACAGCAAAAGGTTCGTTTGGACAGCAGGAAGATTCGTTAAGAGTATTAAATGCTATTCACTGAATATACGGACAATTAATTATCAATTTTCTTTTGCCGTCTAAACAAATAACTGTTTTGCTGTCACTATATTGACAAACATTGACTGTTCCAGCAAGATTTGTTTTCTCCGTGCAGGTGCCTCGACATCTTCCGACGTTCGAATTCATCGACGCTCGCCTGCGTCGCAGACACGAATGTCGGCATATTAAAGTTAGAAAAGCGGGACAAATTCGCGAAGCGCCGTTCCGCATTTTTCTCGGCATATATTCAGCGCTAAACGCGCGCGTCCAATTACCGTCCGTGATCGGCGTCGTGATCGGCGTCCGCTCTCGCCTGTTAGATCTCGATGGATCGAATAAAACGGTGAAGTCACCGTCAATCATAAATATACAGTCAGAACGCGAGCCATTGTTTTAAAGCCGGACTGTCCCGCCAAAAGCGCGGCGTCCGATCACCTTATATGTACACGAATCGCTCGGGCAGGCCGACGGGAGTTTTTCAAGCGGACTGTACAGTCGGGTTGCGCAGGTGTGACCGATGGCGGCGGCCTTTGATCCTCGAACGACTCCTCGGCTCCTACTTTGTCCACGACTCATCGCGCCCGCCTCTCTTTTTCGTCATTCGGTTCGATTATTTCCTAATGGCTAACGCCATTGCGAAAACGAAGCTATCACGTATATCCCCCGGTAAGCATCATGCGCGATAAGGGGAAAGAAGAAGAAAACGGCACAGGAGCGCCCCGGTTATTGGCTAACGACGCTAATTGACAATATTTTCCTCGTCCAAAGGCCCGCGCCGACGCAACGAAAATTGTAAAACGGGAACCGGTATTACGCGGCGTCACCCGCTAATAAGATGCGATGACGCCGATTATTTTCGGTCGCGAGGACGGACAATTGAATGCATTACTCGATAGAATCGATATGGCGATTTTTTCCCTCAGGCTTCCTCGCATCGTCCAAGTAAATTCCACGAGATTCGAGCGACTTTCAGATTCGACAGAATTCTCCGATTCGATGATTCCGAAAGTGAAATGTTATCGTAAGTTTTTCGATGAAATTCTTTATCCCGATTTTCAATTCAACGAAATTCTTTCGCAGGCTCAACGATACTGAGATAAAATGTCACGACTATATCATGAAATTATTGCCAATTTTTTCAGTGAAATTCTCTATGACAATTCCCCCCCCCCCCCAGGAAAGAAGAAGAAGAAGAAACACGTTAGGTGTTTACCCGAAATGTCGACGAAATTACGATGACAATCGGTTGGATTCCTATTCATTTTGCGCTTGATTAAATTTGTCAAAATGGCTCGTGCGCTTCTTCGAGATAACTTCTTCCGACAGCGGTATCTGGAAACAAAAAAAATTACGTACGCCTTCGAAGGCATACTTCGCGAGACGCGATTTAAATAAATTACTCAGCCCCTCTTCCGCGTGCACTTAAACTCGGCAAATAAATACCGCCGCGGGCGTGTAAAAAAAACTGGCCTGTCACGAGTACTTTCATTGAACAGCGTCTCCGATAAGATACGACGAGACGCAGGTGATTGCTTTAACTGGCTGTTCCTTAAACCGGCAATTAATTTATAATAACAGACCGATTTAAGAAAATTGCCGCGTTAATAGGCGGCCGCAACGAGCGCGATAAGATACGGCGCAGGTCAGGACTCTTTAAGGCGGCGATCCATTCTCACATGGTACGTAACCGCGTACGTGAAAATTAATAACAACGTATTGAAATGCCCGCGACTCGTCGTATCTCGGCGATCTGAAATATTCAAATCTCGCTCGCGCGATATTGCTTATAATTGAGGGGGCGCCGAGTTTTTCTCGTTCTAGCCGCGTTAGCGGGAAAATACGCGCGATCGTGATTAGCGCGCTTGCAATTTTCGCGTTTTATTTCGAAACGAGTGCTTCACGTGACGATAAAGCCGCGACGAGAGAGCGCGACGGATTATTTATATTTATATGCGTTTTATTTCTCGCGCGCGCACAACCCGCTTTGGGATTTAACACCGAAGGTGACGGACGCATCCGCTGGGAGCGTTTTGAAATACAGCCTCAGCTAGATCACCGGGATCTATCGTAGTTATGGGTCTCGGGATTCTCCGTGGTCAGAGCACCGTAACGAATTCGTAATACTTTTATGGAGAAGAGAAGGAGAGAGAGAGAGAGAGAGAACCCTTCCATGTCTCGAAAATACATTTAATTTGTAGCCCTTAGAGGAGGCTCTCTCCGGAGTCACAATTCCGGCGGTCGGTTGAAAAAGCTTTGATTCGTTTTGCATGTCCCGACCTGGTCGCTTTCGGGATTATGAAATTTCGGTATTTCATCCATCCTCGGGAGTTCCAAGTCGTCCTGGAGGACCAAATTGGAACGTTCACGAAATGTCCCGGGAACAAATCCACGTAGAACTTAAAGCCAGAATAACTCGGATGCAAGCAGACCTAACGCCAACAACATTCATTGGACAAAAATGGCTCCTCTTACTTCAATTCCCCTATAGTTGCGGTATTACAGTCACAAATATCAAGTATTTTCACATCAGTTGTTCATCAGACACGAACTATTCTTGGATGTGCCAAAGCAGAAGTCAAAATGTCGAAGAACTCGGGGCGAGGAATCCTCCCCGTACTTTTCAAAGGTCCGACTCACAAATGGAATTATCGAGCGTGCCTCGTAGAGTAGACCGAAATCTAACGTCACCTCATCGTTTAACAGAAACAACTGTTCCCGAGAGCCGTTACACGCCGCACAGCTGTGCGCTCCCCGACGGACGCGCATTACCGTTTATTGGCGATTTCGCGAAATTAATTAGCGATCACCTTGTCCCAATTACCACTACACACCGTACACTCCGTGTTTACCGGCGGCTTTGTGAATCGACACAATATCGGGGAAGAAGGGGGGAGGGGGGGAGGGAATACCGACACAGACGGCAGATCAAATCTCTCTGCGGCAATAATATCCTCTCTTATCGCATTACCATCTCATCTTATTCCCGGGATTAATCGTGCACAACACGCGTTAAGTAAGTGGCGAAGACGATGAGGTAAGGCGCGCACGCTTAAACGCTCGCTTCGTTTTTCCCCGATTCCTTCCCCCTTTTTCCTTCCCCACGCACGCGCGCGCGCTGTCGCTCCTTTTTCTCTTTACGCGCGGCCGCGTTTCCGCGGCAGAACTTTTTCTCCGCTGCGTAAGTTCGAACGAGCAATTATACGACGTCGACGATAAAATCTTAATATGTAAGCTATTCGTATCGGTAGCTCATTATCACGTGGTTTTTGCGAAAGAGAGAAAGAAAGAGAGATAGTGAAAAGGAGAGATAGAGAGGGATACGCTCGCCAGCCGAGACGACGGTCTCGTTATCGGCAGGATTTAATTGCCGCTGAATCGACGGTCCGTTTGCGCTCTCTCTCTCTCTTTCTCTCTCTTTTTTGTGCGCGCGCCTTCCCTCATTCATTACCGGGCGCGCGTAATAACCGGTGATGCGGTGTAACGCTACCGCGAAAGCCGAATCGCTTTCAGATCTTTCGCGAGAAACCGTGCGCGGGATCGTTGATAAGTTTACTCTCCATCGTAAAGCGCTCTCTTAACGATTCCTGTCATTAGGGGGGGTCGTTTGTCCCTCGCTTCTCAACGCGGCGCGCCACTATTGTTTTCAACATTGATTACACAGGTCTTCCATTGCGCAAGGTTCGCGCGACGGTCGCGTAAAATTGCACCGAATAAATTTCGTAGAAAATTTCGTAGAACTCGGCGAAATTGATCCGCGTCGGTTTGCGTTCGAACGGGATGATGATAATTATGTAATCGGGGGGAACGTGAAATATTATGCGAAGGAGACGTCAGTTCCTGCACGGAGACAAGTAATTTAGAGGGACGGCAAATTTTACGCTCCTGTGGCGAATATATATATACGGGCTATTTTTTCAAGTACTTTCCGGTATTTTATCAGACGATTTTTGAGGTGATTTTATTTGAAGAAAAGCGCTCTTTCGAGATAAGTTGCGAACTAACGACTAACGGTGTCCGTGTTACTCTCTTGTGTTGCAGAGCAAGCCAATCACTTGAACCTGTTCAATAACCGGCAGCAGCCGAAGAAGAAGCGCAAGAGCCGGACCGCGTTCACGAATCAGCAGATCTTCGAGCTGGAGAAACGATTCCTCTATCAGAAGTACTTGAGCCCGGCCGACAGGGACGAGATCGCCGCTCAGCTCGGGCTGAGCAATGCCCAAGTGATCACGTGGTTCCAGAACAGGAGGGCGAAGCTCAAGAGGGACATGGAGGAGCTCAAGAAGGACGTGCAGACTGTGAACCCACTTCTGGTCGCCCAACATCACAAGACCTTCCTGGAGAACGTGCAGGATCTCGGGATCCTGAAGAAACGACCATTGCCAAACTCCATGGACGAGAAATCGTAGAACGTCCGGGATCGCCTAAGCGATCTTAAAACTCTCTTTCTGCGTGCAATCGAGGCTCGACGGTGGCGGAGGAATCGAATTACGGACATAGCCGCTCGGACATAGTCGCTCGCGCGCGACGGTACCGTTGCGTTTTCTTCGCCCAGGTAACGATCGAACGTCGTTGAGTCATCGCGGAATAATCCCGCGCACAAAGGAAGCTAATCCGGAGAGATGACAAATTACATGCTGTCGTAGCAAATAAATAAATATACCGGGTGGTTTTTTTTCTCTTTTTTTTCTTAAATGTACGCCGTATCCAGTATCTTGGGAATGTTGATTTTTGAGATCCTTTTCACGAAGAAATAAGCATGTGTTTATGTGAACGTTTTCTCTACCAAATGACCTCAAATATTGACTCCTGAAATATTGGGCCGAACTTAGGAAACGTCCGAAATATTTATTTATCTGTTACGACGGTATGAAAATTTGCCGTCCCTCTGAATTATTTTCCTCCATACACGGCGTGCTACTCATGAAAGGGCGAACGCGAAGAAAATCGTTTCACGCCGCGTCAAATTGTCGAAACATCGCAGAAACGTTTGTTTCAGATATGTTTCTTTCGGTACGTCGCTCGTAAGCTCTCCGTCACGTTTCCACGTTCTTTCTCGAGGAAAAAACGCGAGGAAAATTACTTCAATCAAGAGTCTTCTCTTCTCGGACATGTACGTTACTGTTTCGCTCACCGATCTGCTACGTGACTCGAGTCTTGTCTGGATGAACGGATGAACACGGAGAAAACAATTCCGCTGGCGTAACTGAATTTTCCGTTGCCTGGGGAACAGACGAAAACTCAGTTGTAAAAACAGAAAAATCCTTACGGGAGGCTTCTTCTTAATCAATCGTTCTCGGTGGTCGGTTGAGACCGAGTTTCAACCGTAGAATACTAACGTGCATCTTTGAGATGTAGGTAATTTTTGCCTCTTTGTTTTTCACCCCGTCAAGATACAATTTTGCCTTATCTTTCGAAAATATATGTCACATTACTGTGAGTTTTCTCTTCTTTTTTTTTTTCTCTTAAACACTACAAGTCTTCAAGCCGTAAAGTTAGAAGCATGGGTTCAGAGTAAGGATTAGTATTTTAGGCTTAAGCAGTTGAATGTTCGCACGAATGTTCTCAGTCGCGATAACAGAGATATCATTTCTTGTCACTGAGTTTTCATCTGGTTCCTGTTCCAGTTGCTGGAACTGGAATATTTTTCTTAGTGTGGAACTGCCGTCACGGCTTTGCCGTCTTGTAAAAATCAGAATATCAAATATCTCGGCAATTGGATTCGTGAATTTTTGCAAATCGGATTTTACATGTGCATACAAAAACGTGAAGAAAGAAGGAAGAAACACAGCTATAAATCTAACCTGATGAAACCTTTTTATTGTTACTCAGGACCATTTCTTCCTAGATATGACATATGTCAAGGTCACGTTAATCGGAGGTGGCACCTGTTTTCTGAATATTTACCCGAAGAACGTCTGCGAGACTCTTAATAACGAAAGGTAGAACGTGATCACTTTCGGAGGAAGGAAATTTTCGTTATGCTTGTCAGAACCGAAAGTGATATTTTCGTGTCGTACATAAGCGGCTTTATAAGTGAAAACGAGAGCGTATCATAGTCTGCGTATCACAGCGCGCGAGATGTGTATTATAATGTATTTATTATATAAAGTCGCAAACGGGAAAGAGATAGTACGGGCCATAAAAAGAGGGCCGATTAAAACCGTCGATAATAAATTATTAAGCGAATATTATTCCCATAAATTATAAACGGCGACACGTCGCCGTCGTGCGTGTACATACAATGTATATACATATACATATATCGTTTCCTTGATAATATTACGCATAGACATGATATAGAGCCGTTATAAATGATTAGAATTAAAGAAAAAGAAAAAAAAAAAGAAATCGTAAACGATAGATGGGACACTGCAATATACCTGATTATGAGTTTAATTAGTGAATTTAGAGAAAGCGAACTAAGATGTACATCCACGTAAAAGCGATTCGTAAAGTGATAGCGAGGCGCGTGAGAGTAAACTAGGAGCGCGTGTGTAAACCGACTTAGTATACAGTGTATAGTGAAGCTAAATAAATGGAAACATTATTGAATGAAACAGCTGCGCAGTGACGTGTCTCTTGCTTCCGCCACCTTTCCTTCCCCGATTCTCCCCAAAACCTGCCACATTTCCACGTTTACGTTTGAAAAAGATTTGAAGTTTTAAGAAATACATAAGACTGAAGATAACATCCGAGGATATACAATAAACATACAAAATGTCTTTCGGAAAGTTGAGTAATCGCCGATGTCGCTCAGATTCCAATGACATTTTTTCACTTATACAGAATGAATTCTCCGTTCTGAATCGTCGTGGAGAATTTATATTCATATTATAATTATAATTAATATTTCCACTCAAAACTGAAGATTGAATCCGACCTATTCTGCTGTCACGGGGACGAATTCACGCTCGAAACATTTGCAGCATTCGCTCGCACGGAGTATATCAGAATCCCACTCCGAATGAAACGTTTGCTCGTTTTGATTGAGATTCCGGCCGGGGAAAAATTCACCGAGTAAACCGAAAATATGAAAGAGTCGCACACGCGTAAGAATCACTCGGCCGAGGCCTCTCGGGCTTCGCCGGGGCTCGCGAGTTTATACTTTACAACGCCTTGCGTAATATCGCGCCTGGCAAAAAAGGCTCGACCTGCGTCGGCGATGCGCGCGCGCGCGAAGCCTCCTACAGACATGCCGCGGTACTACGTAAAGATGAAAAGGAATTATTCTCCAAAAATAGCTCGCCACGGCCCTTCTGAGAATCTTTTTGAAGCCGTACTTGCGCGTTGAGGTTTACTCGGGGACGTAATTTATTAAGATGAAGTCATTTCGCCTTTTCCCTACCGTTGTATCCGCTCGCCGCACGTAGTCTGGCACTCGTCATAACCGGACGCGCTTCTGTCGGCGTGGACCGAGCCGATAGATCGGAACTCGCGCCGGCGAGATTCCAGAAAGTATTCCAGCGGCGAAAGACACCTACGCGCGATATAATACGTGTACCGAAGCCGGCGGGGCCTCATTAGAAATGTTGAAAGCACGAAGCGTACCCGAGGGAGAGAGAGAGAGAGAGCGGGTGGGAGAGACGTGTAATCAGCATAAACTTATCGCCCGTAATCGCATCCACTTATAAACATTCTAGATTCGACTCGATTAATCTATAGCACTCGCACGCGTTTTATATCAGAGATAATGACGACAGGCTAATGATAGACTCATTAACGAGGGCCCGTATCAAATGGTTCCGTTTAGCATCAGATATTCAAGTAACAGGAAGCAAAGTGGTAATGTCGAGCTATCTGCCGGTGTATATCGCTATAAGCGCTCGTCGCGCTGATACGCGATTAGCCCGCTCTCTCTATTTACGGCTCGTGTCTCCCGGGCTCCTACGCCACTTTTTCGCCTCCGCTCCTGCGAGATCCCAGATTCGTATCTACTACGTGCGGGTTTGCACGAAATTTTCGGAATGTCCGGTACTTGGGAAAATCGAGTGTTTATTATGCTCGTTACGTTCGGCCCGATCGATACGTGCGCGATCATCGGAAAGCGAAAGACTCGAGAAGCCGAGGAGACGTTTAACGATGTCAATGTGAGCAAATTATCACGAACCGAGAGGAGTACAGTGACGAAAGGCGTTGGACGTAATGAGAAGAATAAGAAACGAGAAATTAAGAGAATATAGGAATAATACAGGGAATTAGGAAAGGAAACCAAGTTGCCTCATATGGACAAATGCTTCATTTCATTACCTCACTTCATTTCCTTACTTCCTTCATTGTGTCTGAGCCCTATCCGAGAGTATAAAATCGGCAAATAGCTTCATATTAATATATTTCAATTATAATAATTACTAATTATGTTATTATTATTCATTATAATATTATTATGATTTACTTCACTTAATCATTTACTTATTAATTATATCACCAGAGTTGAAATTCATCTTATTTCGCTATCTCAGTCCTCCCTTTTTGTGGAATCAATAGCTTGACAAGGAGCGACATTTCAGGGCAAGCGAGCCGACAATCTCATCACGCGAGCTTGAACAAGGCGATATCGAACGAGGCGGTTCATAGCTGTCGCTGGTATCGACGGGCCCATATATGAAGCAGTAAGCAAGGTAGCCCGCACCGCCCTGTAATTCAGACGCCGCAACATCCAAATAAAGAATTCATAATGGCGATGATGACCGCCGCCAATTTTCTCGATATATCCGATACACCAATAATTCAAGTGCGATCCCCCGACTGGAAATATCACGCGTGCGATATCACTCATTGTATCTGGCGCGCGCGCGCTCCTCACGTAGGCGCATTACTCGCGACTTTACGAGATCCCGCGCGGCGCGACATTAACGAATTATAGTTTAATTGCAACAATCTGACTCCGTCGGTTCTGTCGGTCGATCCCCAGCTCACCGGCGAGTTCCATTATCGCGATAATGGGAACACGGGGCGAAGGGGGAGGGGGAAAGATCGCGCATGGCCCAGGCGCTTGGTGTGCGCGCAATTAATTTACGTTTCGTTTAATGTCGCGCGATCGTATCCTAATTATTTTCGATATATATTGCCCGCTGTAAATGGCATTGCGAGAACCGTGCTCGTTAAAGCCGGGGAGCACCGAGGATCGCGCTTATTCGGCGTGTACCGACAGATTATACGCGAAATGAATGTTATTACGTCGGATTGTCGAAATATTAATTTCGTGGTAATTATCGGCCGGTAGCCGGCAAACCGCCCTCCTTCACTCGCCGCGATCGAAAACCAAGCTTTCAATCGACCCGATTAAAAAAAACTCGTCTCTTCATTCCACTTTATTGAATCCCGCGATGAGTCCCTCTCTCTCTCTCTCTCTCTCTTTCTTTCGCTTTCTCTTTATCGATTCCCCACTCACGTTACCGTAAGATGA